GTTTGGCAATGTTCCTCCTGTTTATTTTGCATGAAAGAATTTGAGGAATATTGATATTGGTTCTTCTTTAAAATTTTGGTAGAATTCTGTGTTGAAACCATCTGGTCCTATGCTTTTTTGTTTGGGAGACTTTAAATGATTGCTTCTATTTCCTTGGGTGTTATAGGTCTATTTAAATTACCTAGTATTTCTTTAATTTTGGTAAGTGGTACTTATCCAGATAATTGTGCAATTCTTTTAGATTTTCCAATTTTGTGGAATACAGTTTTTTGAAGTTTGACCTAATGATTCTCTGGATTTCCTTGGAGTCTGTTGTTATGTCCCCCTTTTCATTTCCGATTTTTGTTAATGTGGATATTCTCTCTCTCCCTTTTGATTAGTTTGGGTAAGGGTTTGTCTTATTTTGTTGGTTTTCCCCAAGAACCAACTCTTTGTTTCACTGATTCTTTGTATTGTTCTCTTTGTTTCTATTTTTATTGATTTCTACCATCAGTTTGATTATTTCCTGTCACCTACTCCTCCTGGGTTAGTTTGCTTCTTTTTATTCTAGGGCTTTCAGGTGTGCTGTTAAGTTCCTAGTGTGAGATTTCTCTAAATTCTTTATGTAGGCACTTAGTGCTATGAATTTCCTCTTAGCACTGCTTTCATAGTGTCCCATAAGTTTGGGTATGTTGAGCCTTCATTTTCATTGAATTCTAGGAAGTCTTTAATTTCTTTATTTCTTCCTTGAGCCAGTGGTGATTCAGTTGAGTGTTGTTCCGTTTCCATGAGATTGTAGGCTTTCTTTAATTTGTGTTGTTGTTGAATTTTAAGCCATGGTGATTTGGCAAGATACAAGGGCTTATTCCAATATTTTTTGTATCTGTTGAGATTTGCTGTGTGACTGAGTATGTGGTCAGTTTTAGAGAAGGTTCTATGAGGTGCTGAGAAGAAGGTATAATCTTTTGTGTTTGGGTGGAATATTGATGTCTGTTAAGTCCTTTGAGGAGGCAGAGGCAGGAGGATTTCTGTGAGATCCAGACCAGGCTGAGCTACAGAGTGAGTTCCAGGAAAAACTCCTATGGTTATATTTTATTTGTGCTGAAATGTGATTTTATTTGTATGTTAATAAATAAAGTTGCCTGGGGATCAGAGGTCATAGCCAATAAGCAGAAGTCTGGCAGTGGTAGCACACGCCCTTAATCTGATCACATGCCAGAGTCTGTGTGTTCAAGGACACAGCCAGCATGGTGACACACACTTTAATCCAAGTACCAACCATAGAGACTTGGAGATCTGTATAGACAGGCAGTGATGAAGAAGTCATGTGGTTGGGTTTAGAACCAATGAGAAGGCAGAACAGAAAGTCAATAAAAAGTCACACAGGAAGTAGGTCTCTTTTTTCCTCAGGGGAAGGACAGCAGCTGGTGTTAAGATAAGGTGGTCTTACCTCTTGGCTACTGCTCAATCTCTGGGCTTTTAACTATTTGACTCTGTGTTTTTTATTTAATAAGACCATTTAGAATTACATCTACAGGTGCCAAAGCTAAAAAGGAGTAGCTGATGTCTGTATGGTTATAATGCTGGACTGACTGACTCTGCCCTACTCTTCTCTTCCTGCTTTCCTGTTTTATCCTTGTAACTTTTCACTCAACAATGTGCTGTTGTTGTTTGGGGTTTTTGCTGTCTTCTTTTTTGAGACAGGGTCTCACTATGTAACCCTGGCTAGGCCTGGAATTCACCATGTGGATCAGACTGCTCTTGAACTTAGAGGAATCCACCTGCCTCTGCTTTCTAAGTGCAGGGATTAAAGATGTGTGCCACTGCATCCAAACTATAGTTATTGTAGCTTTACCTTGGAACCTTTAAAGAGTGACTGTTGAAGGTATTATCATTAAAAGCATCCTATCTTCTTTTCTTTGTCATGACTCACATATACTAATACCTGAGTTAGGATTAACTTATCTCCCAGTTTGAATTAGTTGACATGTTGTTAAGACATTTCCAATGTAACTCTAGAGATGTTTAAAAAAAATAGTACTCACTATGCTAAGTATAAACACAAAATACATTCTCTGTCATTAGAGAAAAATGTGACTGGATGTATATTGCATTAAGGTTTATGAAAGGATCTGTACTGGCTCAAGGCCAAGTTCTCAGAACTAAGAAGATGTATTAGCTCCAGAGAAAGAGGGCAGAACGAGATAAAGATAGGAGATAGAGGAGGGGGGAGATGGGGGAGGGAGCAAGGGAGAGGGAGCAGGGGTGTTTGTCCTGGTGTTGCTTCATTTTGCTCTTTACTTTTTGGGAGGCCTGCCACCCAGCTCTAAAATAAATATATAGAGGCTTGTTCGTTCTTATAAATGTCCTGCCTTAGCTTGGTTCATTTATAGCCCGCTTTTCTTAACTTAAATTATCTTGTCTACCTTATGCCTCTGGATTTTACTTTTTCCTATTCCTGTATACCTTTCTTCTTACTCCATAGCTTGCTGTGTAGCTGGCTGGCAGCCCCCTGGTGTCCTCCTCTCCTTCTCCTTTTTCTGTCTCCCCCATCTCTCTTCCCAGATTTCTCTTATTAATTCTCTCTGCCCACCCGCCCCACCTATCCTTTCTCCTGCCTAGCTGTTGGCCATTTAGCTCTTTATTAGACCTTTAGTAGTCAGGTGTTTTAGACAGGCAAAGTAACACAGCTTCATGGAGTTAAACAAATATAACATATAAGAATGCAACACATCCTCGCATCATTAATCAAATATTGTACAACATAAATGAATGTAATGCATCTTCAACTAATATTCTACACTAGTCCCAGAGGACAAAGAACTGCCTCTGGATAGAGAGGAGACAGACATGACCCATAGGCAGATGGCAGTTTATAAAGGTAAAAGGGGAGACCCTGTGTTAGGATGAGGTGTTTAATTTTGATTGGGCATGTTAATTAGGTGAGCCAAAGAGGGCTTTTGATTGCTGGATGTCAATACGTCGATAGGAGGAGAACCTTGGTAGTCAACCTCAGGAGGAGGAAGTGGTCAAATAAGGGAACAGAACTTGATGGCTTGCTTGAGGAATGTAATCTAAATGGTTTTTAGCAAGACAGAGGGAATGGGAATGAAGGGCAAGGCCTGCCAGAGCCATGTTTGCCATGCTTTGTCTGGCTAGAGTCCCTTCATTTATATTATAGGAAATGAGAATAATGTGAATTGGGTGATCCTTTTTGTATAAAGTATTGGTGTTCAGTGGTTCTCAAAACTACACATTTACTTGTCAGTTCCTCACTCAGGGCACCGATCTTACTTCCTGTGTTTTACGCGGTATTTTCAGCTGTGTGTTCACTTACTTGTGTTTTGTGTACATTGCATGTGCTGCAGATACTGTTGTTTTGTCGCCTTTCACTTCCTTCACTTGTTTACATCCAAAGGTTGTTGGTTAACTGGCTTTCAAAGTTTTTTGTTTTGTTTTTGTTGTTGTTTTATTTTTTTCATCTTTAAAAACATTTTTTTGACAATCTAGTTATGAGACAAGGGTAGCATGAAGCTGGTTATACATACAGTCTAGAGTGGATTTTATTGTGCCTGTGTCAGCCTCACTGTTTTGTAATTACCTTGAAGCTACTACATGTACCACATGGCTCTATTTTCATCTTCCCCATTTCTTATGAAATTTGATTGTTGTCCACGAAACAGAGGAGATTATAGCACATGCTTCCAAGTAGATACCAAGTTGCTGCTACCACTTTATACAGCAAACAGATTCATTGCTGATCAAGATCTCCTCTCTTGTTAATGAGATTTCTGTTTGTATTTCATGTCGTTGAAGTCTACCCTACTTTCCTCTGTTCTGTTCATCTTATCTTTATGGAGTAGTTCCCTGAGAAAAAAGCTTATCATATTATTTCTTATTTTTCTTGTTTTTGCTATCCAGCCCAGGCAGCCTTTGAATTCAAAGTCTTCCTTCCCCCTTCTTGTGAGTCTGGTAATACAGATATATGCCTCCATGTCTGGGTCAAGCTATCATTTTCTTATTCCTAGTATTTTTGTGGTGTCAGATATTTATTGTTGCACACAGATTTTAATAAGTAGTTCTTGTTAACAATGGGAAAGTTTTGTGGGAATTACAGAATTTGATGCAGCCGTGATAGCATCTGTTTTGTGACATTGATCTCTGAGAACACTGCCATTGTTCCTGTGCTGTCATTGTCCACTGACATTATTGAAAATAATCTGTAGTGTTCATATTTGAGGACAGAGAATTACCCTTTGTCTTATTTAGTATTAAGTCAAGGTTGGACTATGAGAAACTACCTGTTTTGAATTAATACTCTTTTATAAGAAACTTCTATAAAGACAATCTTCCTAATGATGTCACTCTTAATGAGCAAGCACATCGTGAAAGGATATGCTCAGTGATCTCTGAGTAACAAATTTATTAGTAGGTATTTCCTATTATCTTTGAGACCAGTGATAAGAGATTTTTCATGTAAATTTTCTTTCAGGTTTTTATATTATAAAAACTATGTTTCACTGTTTAAGAAATATGTTGAGAATGATAATGATAATAGTTTATGGAATATTATTTTATGTTGTCATAAACTGCTGGGTAGCAGTGAGCACCTCTTTATAGTTAAGCTGTTTTCACCCATTTTATGTGAAATTCTCAGGCTTTAGAATCCAATGAAGTTTCCTAACAGACATTTATAACTGTACATGCTCAGCAGAGCTGATGTTTACTGTGGGTTCTAAGTTATAGAAACTTGTGGTGTAAGATACAAAGAATAGTTGAAACCAGCATCACAATAAAGCACTATGATCTGTATTTCCTTTATTATTTTGGCATACACTACCCTTAGAATTGTGTGACAAGATGAGAGGATAATTAATTAGTTTGTGCCAGCCATGATATAAAGTGAATAATAAGAAAGCATGGAGGGAACTTATCAAGTGACTAATGTAGCTCCAGTGGTTTTGTTTTTTTTTTTTAATCTTCTAGTAACTGCATTTTAATAATGCTGTGATTTATTTTAGGAGCCAGTGACCTTTGAGGATGTGGCTGTGAAGTTCACCCTAGGAGAGTGGGCTCTGTTGGATTCTTCTCAAAAGAAGCTCTACACAGATGTGATGATGGAAACATTTATGAACCTGATCTCCATAGGTAACAACAACAACCAAACAGTATAATTTCATTATTCAATTGGAGAAAAACTTTTTTAGTCATCCGTGTAATTATGTGACTTGAAATATTGAAAGAGAGCATCATGGTAAATATAGCATGCCTGCTCACATTATACAAGAGAAGCTGGAAAGTAATAACGTGTGTATAAGTTTGAATAACATAATGATTTCTTGCTTTTAATTTCTAGGGAAAACAGAGGAAGAAAATATTGATGTAGACTACCGAAAACAACAGAGAAATCTGAGGTAATTTACACTTACAGAAAAGGGAATTTGCATCAGATATTAAAGAGGGAGAGCAAATCTGAGAAATGAGGAAGCTATTCCAATAGATAAAAATGTAAATTGACTTAATTTCAGATTTTCTGTAAAACTTCACTCAGCTTGAGAATTCATGAATGGATGATCCTGTCTCTCATGTAGTACTCATGTGGATTTTGTAGCTTATACCTGTTACTGCACTATTGATGGAGTAGAAACAAAATGTGGTACAACCTTTAGCTAAGACATTTCCTAGTGGTTCCTTACATAAAACTGCCTGTTGTCTACCAAAGTATTTGATGTATTTTTAGCAAGTTACCTTTGGACCTCATAAGGTTTGTGTGTAAAGTAAAGGTGAATTGGGGGTTTAGAATGAGACCCATCTTCGATAAATTGCCTGAAGGATATTCAGTTATTTAAAATTTGAGAATGTCTGATTCATGTTATATTGCATAAGGAATATTCAGCTTGGTTAACTGTGTCATAGACAATGTTTTTTTTTCCTAAGTATTTTTATTTTACATGCATTGGTGTTTTGCCTGCATGTATGTCTGTGTGAGGATTCTGGATCCCCTGGAACTTGAGTTACAGACAGTTGTGAGCTGCCATGTGGATGCTGGGAATTGAACCAGGGTCTTCTGGAACAACAGCCAGTGGTCTTAACCACTAATCCATCTCTCCAGCCCTTTCAATGTTTATCGAAATAGTACTACAGAACCTTTTATGGTTATATGCTGTCCTCAGCCCTTGCTGAATGCTTAGTTCTTTTATGTTCATAAATTCTAGTGGAAATCAACTCAGTACATTTTTTCCTCTCAAGACAGGGTCTCTGTGGCCTAGTTTGCCCTTAGCTTGTTCACTTCCTGCCACTGCCTCCAGAATACTACACTAACAGGCAGAGACTACAGAATCTATCATCTAGTACTTATCTAGTTATAAAATAAGAATAATGCCTCTCCCTTTTTTTTTTCAGAATTCAGGTTATTGAACGATTCTGTGGCTATGAACATGGTAGTCAGTGTGGAAAGACCCACCAACAGATACCAGAGAATACTGTTAATGCAGACAATCATCCTGCAGTCATAGTTTATGAAAGCAGTATGTATGTAAAAGACATCAATGCTCACTCATCCTCCGATATGCTTGTTAGAAGTCAAACCAAAGAGAAACTGTATGGGTGTCAGGAACACGTGGAGAAGGCTATTAAATATGAAAAATGTTGGAAAGATTTCATTTATTCTGAGTCCTTTCAAATACTCAAGAGTGCTCCTGGTACAGAGAACGTCTGTGAAAATAAACAGTCTAATGAATCTTATAGTAATCTCACATCTCATAAAGATTTTGAAGGAACTCTCACTGGAGATGAGCCATGTGAATATAAGCAATTCGAGAAAACCTTAAAGGAAGAAAGTTATGTTCAAATATGTGAATCCAGAATCCATGCTGGAGAAAAGCCATTTACATGTAAGCAATGCGGAGAAACCTTCATTAATTCCAGCCACTTGACCAAACATCAGAAAATTCACACAAGAGAGAAAACTTACCCATGTAGGCATTGTGGTGAAACTTTCATGTATTCCATGGCCCGTCAAAATCATGAAAAAACACACAAAAGGGAGCATAGTTACATATGTAAACATTGTGGGAAAGTATGTATTCATTCTTACCATCTTCTCCAGCACGAAAGACGTCATACTCGAGAGAAACGTTATGCATGTAATCAATGTGGCAAAGCATTCAGACGGTCCTCAAACCTTCACAAACATGAAAGAATTCACAGTAAAGAGAAACTTTATACATGTAAGCAATGTGGGAAGGCCTTCATCAGTGCAGGCAACTGTTACAACCACGAAAGAATTCACTCTGCAGAGAAAACCTATGTTTGCAAGCAGTGTGGAAAAGCATTTACATTTTCCTCGTACCTTCGAAAACATGCAAGAATTCACACTGGAGAGAGACCCTATACATGTAAATATTGTGGGAAAACCTTCACCCATTCTAGTGCTTATTACAGGCATGAGAAAATTCACACTAGAGAGAAACCATATGTATGTGTGGAGTGTGGGCAAGCATTTACTTTTTCCAAATCCCTCCAAATACATGAAAGAACTCACACTACTAGAGAGAAATTCTACAAGTGTAATCAGTGTGGGAAGGAATTTGTGTATTTCTCATACCTTCGAAGACATGAAAGATCTCACCATCAAAAGAAACCCAATGGGTAGAATTTAAATTGTGTAAACCATGTGTAACTGTAATCAACTTGCTTTTGAAAATATTTATTTGTCACACTTATTTATTGGCTTATTTATTTATTTATTTATTTATTTATTTACTTATATATATTTGCATGAGGTATTGGGCAAGAATATACCCATGCTCCAATATAAATGTGGAGATCAGCAGACAACTTGCTGGAATCAGTTTTCTTCCCATGGTGTGAGTCCCAGGGATGGCGCTCAGGTTCTCAAGCTTGGCAACAACTTTCTTTCCCTTCCAGGTCATCCCACCAGGCTTTGTCTTGCTTTTCCTATGAGTGAGGTTTCTTATAGAAGTTTTATATTTTGTACTTTTCTGTATATACTTTCTCCAAAAACAAATAGAGAGATTGGGCTTAAGAGGTAGCTCAGTGGTCACAAATACTTTGCTGGGCTTGCAGAAGACCTGAGTTCAATTTACAACACCCACATGGTAGCTCACAGCTAACTCCAGCTGCAGGTGATCCAGTGCCCTCTTCTGGTCTTTGAATGTTGCACACACATACAGGCAAAATACACACATATACCTTTAAATAAAAAGATGGAGATATACTGGGGATAATATAAAATTAGCAAAAGTGGGGGCTAGAGAGATGGCTCAGAGGTTAAGAGCACTGGCTATTCTTCCAGAGGTCTTGAGTTCAATTCCCAGCAACCACATGGTGATTCATAACCCTCTGTAATGAGACCTGGTGCAGGCATACATGCAGGCAGAATATACATAAAAGTAAATAAAATTTAAAAAAATAGCAAAAGTGTAATTTTCCCCATATGTGCAAGTGTACATAGGATGAACACCTACTCTTGCATCGGGCATCATAATGTTTGCCTTTTATTCCAACATTGAGGGGAATAGACTCTGGAAAATTGCAACCCTGAATATAGGGGGCATGAATACAATTTGTGAAACATAAGAAAAACCAGTTGAAACCAAATTAAATTGTCATTTATAAAAATATGAGAGATCCAGGTGTGATGGCATACATGTCTAATTGCACCACTTGGGAGGCAGAGGCAGGCAGATCTGTCTGAAGTCCAGGCCAGTGAGGGATACTCAGACCCTGTCTCAAAAAAGAAAAAGAAAGTGGGGACCCATAACAAAGCTAGTTCAAGGTTCAGTCTGAGCTACATGAAACTCAGAAAAGAAAAAGGATGTTGTGATTTTCTTATGTAATTGAATCTTATAAAAGCAAAAAATGTGAATATCTTGAGCACATAAATTTATGTAAATAAAATATTCCTGAAAACAACCTGAAAGAAATTAAGTAAAAGTTATGCATGTTTACAGTATTTGCCTATTCTTACTCAACACTTCCTGACTTTACATTATTTCTTTTTTCATTGAAAATATAATTTAGTGAACAATTTTAGTATTATTGCACATGCCTGTTATCCCTGCTGCTCAAAGAGGTAAGTAAACTTGAGCTCACATTTGAAGACTGTGAAGACACCACCTTAAGGACCAAAAACATAAACTGTTTGAATTGTGGTGACGAAACTTTGCCAAATCAATTGCATTTCAGTCAGTAAACAAGTATTCTTTTATGGGTATTGTTTTTAAATCATGAGGTGGTGCTTTACCCTTTACTGTAGAGCTGTATTGGATTAATTGAATTGAAATGCATTTATTATCTGGTACTTGCAAATACTTTTTTAAATTGCAGTTATGTGTTGTGCACATATATGTTTGATCATGAGTGTTCTAGGTGTACATTTGGATGTCAGAGGACAACTCTCCTTACCACATGAGTCCTGAAGATGGAACTTAGATTGTCAGGCTTATGGGCATGCTGTTGAACCATCTCACCAGCCCTTTAAGTAGTTTTTGAATAGTTGTTTTTGATATGAAATTGAAAATATCAATGTTAATTAGTATTTTCTGGCTGTCGTTATACAGTAGATTCTTTTTAAAAAAATGTTCTCATTAGTTCGTTGGCAGTTTCCATATATTTGAGTAGGCACTCCAGTTTTCTCAACTTAGATTCTATACTTATATTTTGTGGTATTTTCTCCAAATAAGAATGTTTTTGCATTTTGTTATTCATGTGTGTGTGATATGTGTGTGTTTATTGCAAATGTACAAGAGTGGAGGTCAGAAGACAACCTTCAAGAGTTGGTACTTTGACAGGCTGTAGTGTCAAGTGATTTACTTCCTGAGCCCTGCACCAACTCCAAATAAGATTTTTTATTTTTTTTATTGTTTTTTTTATATGCTGTAACTAATTACATCCCATAATCAGTTATAATTAAGCATTGTGGCTATTACTAGTATTAAGGAATGTTGCAAACTGAGATGGGTCAACAGTTAAAAGAGCATATATTGATGTTGCATAGTTTCTGAGTTTAGTTTCCAGGACCCACATCCAGCAGTTCACAGCCACCTGAAGCTGCTGCTCTGTTAGATCCAACACAGCTGACCTCCAAGGTTATCTCCACTCACATGCATATACCCACACAAACACACACATACACACAAATAAATTGTTCACAATCGAGTGTAGTTTGGTTTTGTTATTGTTGAACAGTATTTTGTTATCATTTATTCAACTGAGGGGTTGAATTAAATTCCATCCTTTTAAATAATTTTCTCACCTGGCTGTAGTAATGTAGTGAGAGGACGTAATTCGTGTGTGCAATCTCATTTTAAAGATGCCAATTGCAGGACGTGGTGGCACATACCTTTAATCCCAGCACTCCGCAGATCTCTGAGTTCAAGTCCTGCCTAGTCTACATAAGACGTTCCAGAAGATTGGCTTTTATAGGAGTGCAGTCCTAGATGTGGGCACTTGCTTTTCTCCTTTACGCAGTGCTTCATAAAATATTTTGGGCTCTGTTTTCCATCGCTACCAGTACATCTTAGCATCACAAGATTTACAAGGTACATTGAAATAAATTATGGTAAAATATAAGTGAGATGTGTGTTTAATACAGCCAAACTAGTGAACATTAATCCCTAGCCTACACTGTTAATAATGCTTTAATCACTTGTAAAGTTGGTAAAAAAAAAAATGTTGATTTTTAAATAAACTATTCATTGTGTGTAATCTGTATAGTACCAGTTTTGTGCATGTGAGCACATGATTATCACACAATAGAGATCACTAATCCTATCCATACTCATCAGAGAGTACAATTCAGTATATTGTTGCCCAACAAATAAATCTAGCTTTAAAAGGCCCAGCTTTCCTTGCCTTTTTATTCTTTTTTACCCCCTTTTATTAAAAATAGGTTCTTCTCTCATACAATATATCCTGATTGCAGTTCCCCTTCTCCTCCTCTTCCCTGTTACTTCCCACCTCCCCTCCCCTTCCCTCCAGATCCACTACCTTCTCATTAGGAAAGAATCGTTTTCTAAGAGATAGCAATCTAACAAGACAAAATCATCACATCCAGGCTGAGCATGGCAACCCAACAGAAAGAAAAGAGCCCCAAGGTCAAGCACACAAATCAGAAGCCCATTTGTTCACACACTCAGAAGTCCCATAAAAATACTAAGCTGGAAGCTATAATATATGCAAGTACCTGTTGCAGACCATGTCCCTGCTACTTCAGTCTCTGAGTTCATATGAGCTTTGTTCAGTTGATTTAGTGGGTCTTGTTCTGATGATCTCCATCAGCTCTGGCTGTAACACTGTGTTTCCTCATCCTCTGGGTTCTCTCCTGAGCGCTGAGGGGAGGGTATTAATGGAGACATCCTATTTAGAGCTGTGTGTTCCAAAGTCTGTTTATGTAATGTCTGGCTGTGAGTTTCTGGGTTTTTGTTTTTTTCTAAGACAGCTTCTCACTATGCAGTCTTGGCTGGCTTTGACCTCTTTGTCTAGATCAGACTGTCCTTGAGCTCACAAATATGCCTGTCCCTACATCCCTGGTGCTGGTACTAAAGGTGTGGGCTACCACACCCATCCTTTCTTTGTACTTCTGTTTTTCAACTATCAGCAAAACATACAAACATGCCAAGTCAGACCTAGGCAAGTCATTTTTCTTAGGTCAGTAGAAATATATAAATCTATTTACATAGATGCATACCATCTTTGTCTCATTTATGACTAAATTAAAAAGTTTGAGTTTTCCTGGTATAAGTTGAGTGATGGCCAGCACCACTTATATTAGATACTAGTTTTCAATCATCTCTCATGTGTCAACATGGTAGATAAGGAACATTCTGAACTACACATACAAAATGGAGGCATTCTTTGCTCTGTATATATAGTTCTGAGAGTAATGGTTATAGTTCATTGTTGATAATTTGGTGAGAAAAATGAGGTCATCAGCAAACATTAAATATTTATGAGATGCAAGTGAAAGAACAGTTTTCAAACACATACCCAATATGCTGAGCCTTGGCTTTAATCCCCATTACTGCCAAAAGAACAAAAAGCCAAGAATATACTAAAAGTTGGTAATAAAGTAAATTTTGCAGATATGATTTCCTTGGAAGCAAATTGCACTTCATTTGTCTCTAGATAGCTTCCTTTTTTTATTTGCTAGTATAAACTTACTACAAAAAAGCAGCATCAAATGGCAGGATAAATTGTCTGTGTTTGTTTTCTGGAGGTCTCCTTAAATTCTGTACTCCTTTAGGAGTCTTCCCATATTGTGTATGAAGAGAATTACAAAAATCATTGTTCTCAAAATGATTTGAAAATCACAGTAGTTTTAGTTCTTGAGGATTGGTATGAGGAGGAAGGATGGTCTTTACATTCATTGGCTATTTGCAGTTCATTTTCAAGAACTATGTTCATTTCATTAGCTCATTTTTGGGTTCTCTGGTTTCTTGGTAGTTTCTTTAGTTCTTTACATATTCTACACTTAGTTTCTTGTCAATTGTGTGGTGAGCAAAGGTTCCCATTCTGTTTTATCGCTCAGTTCCTTTTGCTACACAGCAACTTTTTTTTATTTCTGGCAATCCTATGTCAAGTCTTGGCATTGTCCCCTTTAATATTTAGAATCTTCAGAATGTACTTGCCTCTGCCAACTTCAAAGTATTTTCCTTGATCTTTTCATCTTATGCTTTTCGAGTTTCAGGTCTTGTCAAGGTGTCTCATCCATCTACAACTGATTTTTCTATAGAATGACAAATAGCATTCTATTTTCATTCTTCTAAATGTGAATTTGCACTAGAGCCCAGTTTGTGGAGTAGGCTATTTTTCTGTATTTTTTGAGTGATATCTTTGATAAAAATTAGGTGGCTGGTTGCATAGATTTACAACTGGGTATTCTATTGCATTTATTTACATGTCTGTATTTATGCCAGTACCCTACTGTTTTACCACTGGCTCTGTGAAATAACTCAAAATCAGATATTATTTGTTATAATATGCAATATTACAGTTATAAATTATTATAATACATAATATTATAGTAACCAACATTATTTTTTTAAATCAGGATTGCTTTGGTTATTTATGGTCCTTTGTGCTTCCATATGAATTTTTTATCCCCCCAACTGTAAATAATGTCTTTAGAATTTTGAACGGATTGTATAGAACATATTCATTGCTTTTGAATTGCTCTTTTTTTTTTTTTTTTTTAGGTTTTTTGTTTTGTGTTTTTGTTTATTCCAGATAGGGTTTCTCTGTGTACCCCTGGCTGTCCTGTAACTTGCTCTGTAGACCAGGCTGGCCTCTACCTTATGAATACTGGGAGTAAAAGTGTGCATCACCACCACCCACTGAATCACTTTTATTTTTTACATTAATTCTGCCAATCCATAACTATGGAAAGTCTTTCCAATAACTTGTAGCGTTGTCTTTATTTTTTTTTCAGTGTTTTAAAATTCTCATTGTAGCTGTGTTTTTATGACTCCTAAGAGTAAAGTTTTTAGGATTTTTCTGGTAGACTTTTTAGGATTTTTTTATTATTGATGTTTTCTGTAAGTAAGGATATTTTGACTTCTTCCTGTTTGTATTCATTTTTATTTATTTTTCTTTATAATTACTCCACCTAAATCATACACACTAGATTGAACTAACAATGAAAACATTGGATCCAATTTTCTTTTTCTTAAATTTAATTGAAATTCTTGGAGTTATTGCCCATGCATCACAATATTCACTAAATGTTTTTTTTATAGTGCCTTTATTATAATGAGGTTGGTTCCTTTGATTTCTAGTTTATGGCTTTTATCATGAAGAGATAATTGGATTTTGTGATGTGATTTTCATCCTTTGGTTCGTTTGTAATGTGTTTCATTTATGTTGAGGCATCCTTACATCCCTGGACTAAAGCCAACCTTATCATGGTTAATTGTATTTTTGATGTGTGGAATTTCTGATTTGTTTTTGATTTTTTGAAACAGGGTTTTTCTGTGTAGCCTTGGCTGTCCTGGAACTTAGTCTGTCGACCAGGCTGGTCTTGGACTCACAGAGATCCACCTGCCTCTGTCTCCTTAGTGCAGAGATTAAAGGCATGCTCCACTACCGCCAAGCTGGTGTGTGAATTCTATCTGCAGTATTTTATTCACTATTTTATATCTGTATTCTTCATAGATATTGACCTATGGTCCAAAAATGGAGTCTCCTCAAAAAAGGAGAATTCTGAGTGCTTGTGAAAAAACTCCAAGAAAACAAGACAAAAGTCTTTTGACATCAGTTTCTTAAAAACACAGAATTTTTCTTGGAATGTGTGTTCATGACCCTTCCAGATGTGGTGGATAGGAGTGAGTTTACTTCAAATTATTCATTACAACTGGCTATTGTTATTTGTTTATAAGCCTCCATGGAAAAACATGTTTTTGCCATGGGTGGCTTATCTACCACAAGGAGCTTGCCCTTGTGTTTGTACACTTTACACACGTGAGTCCTGTTAGCCCTCGGAGTGAAAATTGGCTGATGCTCAGAAAAAAGTTGACTATTGCATGAGACTTTAGTCTGTCTGAATTTTAGGCTCCATTCTCCCAGGTTGATACTGTCAACTGGAGCACTAAATAGTCGTAATTTTTTTTTTTTTGTTAAGTCTTTATCCAGTTTAAAATCAAGGCAATACTGAGTTTATAAATAGGATTTGTAGCATCCTACCACTTATATTTCATGAAATAGTTTGTGTAGCATTTAGCTAATACTTCTTTAAAGATTTCTTAGAATTCAGAATGAGCCAGAATCTGTCCTATCCCCACCCTTGGAAGTTTTTATGCTATAATCTCAGTGTCATTGATTGTTATAGATGTATTTAGATTGTTTCTCTCAGTTTAATTTGGTGGGTCATATGTATCTAGAAATTAAATTATTTTAAGGGTTTCCAATTCAGTGGAATATGTTTTTAAGGTATTTCATAAGGATTTTCTGAATTTTGTTAGTGTCTGTTCATTCTTCTTTTTACCTATATACAACTTGAGTGTTCTATTTAGGTTAGTTTGGCTAAGAGTTTGTTGAACTTGTTTAAGTCTTGGCAACACCAACACTGTTGTACCAATATTTGGTGTCTAGTTTATTTGTTCCCTACCTTTCTTTAATTTCTTTAAAAATTATTTTATCTTTCTCCATCAACCTCTCTCCTC